TGATCTGTCTTAATCTCATGCCATTCAAGAATGTATTGCTTCAGTCTTCAGACATTTGATGTTCCTGCATAAATAACACAGAATGTACTAGAGATACAGATGCTTCCATTGCTTTGGAAAATGAACTGAGTGAACAATAACGCTTTAAATCTGCCTGTCCATGTTCAGGACAATTCAAATCTGTCAGCTAATACCATTTAAATTTTTCTAATGGTTTAATACCAAACATGTAATTTACGAGGAAAAAAAATAAAACATTGTCTATTGATACTGTAGCTGCATGCCTCAAACCAGAAAAATATTACGGTAGGGGAGGAGGGGCATTAAAATTGGAAAAGTGAATGTAGTTAATAGAAGTTAAATTCAAGATTGTCTTTAAGGCTTCTTTGCAATCACAGTACTGACATCTGTCCAAGTCTCTGTTTTTCAACACACCTGAGGCCTTTCATTCTCAGTTTAACAAATTAATTCCAATGTAGAGACTTCCAGCTCATTTAAAGTCTTCATAGCACTATTTCCCCTCCAGCCTCTCACCTTACTTTCTGTTCATAGTAAGTATTTTGCTTAGTAGGTTCAAGTCAATTGGCCAGGTTAAAAACAACAACAAAAACAACCATGAACCAAACCAAACAAAAACCACATACACACACACAAAAAAACCAACCTTATCTTAGTTGACTGTCAGCTACTGATATCGCTTTTTTTTTAACATGAAGTGTTTAAATTTCCTTGTGAGAAAAAAAAATAGACTAAGTAAAATATTATTTCTGGTGTGACTGACCTACTAATGAATGCTCCAAAGTCTCCTTGTTCAAGACATGACTGCTGTGTTTTTGAATCTTATTTCAGTACCTTGTTTCAATAAATTTGAATCTAACTTCATCTTTTATGTTTGTAAAATATAAAAGGAAATATGAAATGCAATTATCATTCTATGATTAGCCAATTAAGTGAAATAATTATTGTCAAATTAAAATTCCAGAATTCAAACAGTCCCTTAAATAATAATATAAATATTTTGTCATTGATATAAAGCCTAATCCTGCCAGCTAGAGTAGTTCTTTTGCAGATTTCCATAGGGTTTTTGTTGCTGAGCTTATTATACACAGATTTGTTTTTGATATTTTACCTTTTTAACTTGTCATGTTTTCCTCATCACTTGTGCGTAACTAACTCAAATCCTAAAAGTTCTTTAATCTATGTCTTTGACTTGACTTGTTCTAGCCGAATTTTTCACAGAAACTTTCTCTGACACATCATTCCCAGTGTAGAAAAAGAACAGCTTTACCAATCTCAATATATCTTGTGATGAGATTGCTGTTAAATGTAAAACATACACTTAACAGTCATTTGTTTTTAAATTGATGAGAATTGAGCAAAATTTGCAGGGACTGCTATTCTCCCTTTTAGGTATTTTTCATTCAAACCTAAATTAAATGTCAGCTACCACTTTGTAGGTTGCAGTAAGGGGCCTGCTTTCTCTCCCTCTCATCATTAGGAAATTTGTAGATATTCTCTTGTTGAAAATGTTTGGGAGCCTTCCAGAGGTACTGTCTGTACCTCTAGTGTTTTTGAGCCCCTCACTTTGGTTACATTGAATCTGAACAGAGCTAATTTACCTGTGTCAGTTGAAAATATGAGGAAATGAGTGAGCAGTAAGGAACAACATAGGCCATCTCAGGCTCAGCACCAGTCATGCCCCATAACACACGTTTTTTCTCCTGCTTTTCCCTTCCTCAAGTATGATTTTTGTAGTCCTGCTCCCTGACTAGGAACCCAGATCTAGTTTTTGATATCTTCTTCTTCCTCAATCTGAATTACTAAAGTCTAAGTTATATCTGAACAAATTGGTTCTATGTTGCCTGCAGTAGGACCTATAAATCAACTGTTCATTCAGCATCTTTTAATTCCACCAAACAGCTTATTGTTTTGTTGTGGAAAAGCTGCAGTCTGCCCATATACTTCATTATCTCACATTTCTTACTTCTGATTGACAAGAACCCCTAAAATTTCTCTTGTTATAAGTATATCTGGGCAACTCTCTAGTCTGTATACCATTATCCCTCAATATCCTGAACACAGTAGGCAGCTACAGAATAGGTGAGACTGCTGCTTTTTGCATGCATTACAGTTTTAATCAGGCTCTTCAGTTCTATGCTGAGTTACTTCAGAAATCTGCCACATATGACTTCTTCCATGACTTACAAAAGAGGCACATATTCTAAGTATAGATAATAATTGTACCATTTAAATGATAATACCAAGATGTTTTGTAAAGGGAGGAAATTCATGCAGGGCATTTTTATCATGAACAGCTCTTTCATAGGGCTATCTATCCTCACACCAGATGTCAAATACAAAAAGAAATACTTTGGCATGAATAACAAAGTTCATTTGACTGAAGGATTTACCTCCTAGGAACAAGAGCCTCATAAAACATAAATACTGGGAGCAAAGTGAGCCTCGTAAGGGCTTTTGCAAAAATTAAACCCATAACTTGCCACTAGAAATGGGATATTTCATCTGTTCAATAAGCACTAAAGTTCTCTTTGTTTTTATGGCATCGTAATCTTTGATTACTCTGATAAATATTTGGACTAGACAAAACATTGCAATGGAACTAATCGCAGCTATAAACGAACTGTGTGTAGAAATGAATTGGGAATGCAATGATACCAGCACATTCTATGATTTTATAGAAGTTCAGATACAGAACCACATTATTTAAACTGTCTCATGGCCCCATTCTTTCACATCTCTCTGTCTCCGTCTGCACCTAAGGAAAATGCTTGTTATGGTTGCTGGCTTTGCACAAACATGAATAGATAACTGTACCAGACATGGAGTATTACCCTCCCTCTGCATGACTGGGTGAACGTGAAATACACAACTAAATAGTAGCAAATGTTGGCAAAGAAAAACAATGCAGTCCTGTGCTGAAGACTACATCTGGCTATGCTGAAACCTAGCTAGAGAATTCATGCTATCACTTACAACAACTGTGTACAAACACCCTTAGTCTCAAGGAGGAGATCCTTCCCCATCCCTTCAACTCACCTGCAATATCCCTTTGTTTTGGTTTTATTGCTCAGAGAACAGACTGGTACCAGTAAGTAACGCTGAACAAACTGCTGGCAGATTACGTGCACATTCTTACTCCACTTGTTGCTTAAGATTACAGTTCTTTTTCTCAATACTTACTATTACAGCACTCTGAAGGAATATAAGACTTGCCTAGAAAGGCTTGAGGCATGTCTTATTTTTTCACGTTGTTAAGACTATTCAGTGCTACTTAATCTTTTACAGTAGGAGAGGGAATCCCTGTGTCATTCTGAGCACCATGCAGTGCTCAGATGCCAGGGGCCTATATTCCGCCCACAGTTCAGCTGGGGAAGATCTGTAGTCAGAAGATCAACTCAAGAAGCATTTTCCAACACCTAGAACTGCTTTTTATAACTCAATCTAAGGAAAGTGATCTGACCTCTTTGGGGGCTAGAAAATGTCAACATGAATACTTTCAAATGCAAATGCTTTTCTCCACCCAATTATATTCTAAGCAGATGCAATAATGTAAATAAAGTTCAAGCACAAATCATATCTAAAAATGTTAGCCCAGTGGTGAAAGTCATGCTTAGTGTAGCCTCAGCAACATTTATGAAGTGGTAACAAGAATATATTTGAATCAATGGGCTGCATATTTATATCACTGATGCAATGGTGTCATGTACTGTCACATATTTCTAACATATTACTTCTAACAGCTGAAGTCTGCGTTTGTTTCCAGTTGACTAAACTCAGAACAACTGAAGCAAAGCCAATGGAGATACTTCAGATGTCACTGATTGGAACAAAGAACAGGAATTTGCACTTAGCATTTATATAGTCTTTTTCATCTTCAAAGAGCATCACAAACATCAGCTACTTCTAATTCTCTCACAATGACCTTCATGCTAACCTTTTGGGATAAAAGTAATATGTTATAAGAAAAAAAAAAATTGACACTGTGTGTTATCAAGCATACACCAAGCCTCAGATGTGTAAACTATATCTGCCTTGACCTCTACCTCTGCCTCATGGTAGGCTGTACCTCATCAAGAATATATGGCCTTTTACTATGACTCAGGTAGTATTTCACCATGCAATGCATTCTGCTAACATTAGATGATGGTAATAATCCTTGAATAATAGTTTACTACAATAGGGGATACAGTAATTCCTTTTTAACAGACATCAAAAAATTGCTGAAAACCGTCACAGGGCAAGGCAGGTACATATCTAGGTTAGACGTCAAAATTCTGTAGCTTTGAATTTCTACTTTGCAGTTATTCTGGGATTTCCTTTTTTATTATTATTATTTTTTATTAATCACCTTCTGATTCAGATTAGGAATTTCATAAGACTTTTAGAAAGCTTTCTCAGAAGCAGCAGAAGCATCCTCTGTATGCATCAGTTCTCTCTCTCCCCCAACCCAGATGTGCAATTCTGATTATCAATTTTGTCTGTCTCTAAGGCCAGAATCGTGAGTAAGTTCCTTATGTTCCAGTTGCTTGTGCACTTCATACAGAGGAATAGATCGAAGCAGGCAGTACTCATTTTCATGGTGACCCAGAATAGCTATTGTTACAAGAACACCTTTAATCTCCTGTTTCTGATTTTGAATTGAATTCAAGTGGGGAGAGATGAAAGAAAGTGTCTCACAAATCTGTTACTACAGCTGGTACTTCTTAGTTTATCATATGCTAGCTTTAATTCACTTTGATTCTTAGAATTATTGCTTCTATTTCTTAATTTGACAACCAGGCATTTTTTGCTACTTTGTGAGAGTGAAAAAGCCCTCCCCTCCTACTTTAATGTAGCTACTTCCTCAGGGAAAAAATAAAGTTACTGCATTATGCTATCAATGTATGAATTTAACTTCTCCCTTGGTAAGTTTTCTTATAGAGTGCACAGATAAGCAGCTAAATAACACTTCATTACTTACAATTAAGGAAAAGACTTACAAAATAAACTGAAGAGTGAAAGAAGGATCAGGGTCATGCTGATATGAAGGGAATCAGTTGCACTGCAGTCCATTCTGGATTTCTTGCAGGAACACACTTGTAATTTCAGTTCTGTGTTGTTAGTCAGAGGTGGTTTTCCAGAATCTGTCACTGAGATTGGGATGTTGTAATTGGCCTTTTTCAGGTTTTGAAGCAGGACGACCTGGGCATGAGTATCTGAAAAGGATCAGGAGGTAAGAATTAGCCAAATAGTAGTCACTTGGGTAAGAAGAGGAATCTGTAAACAGTATCAGATATGCCACAGTTACTCATGGAAATTAAGAAGAAAATGAGAGCACTCTAAGAAAAAGATTAGAGAATTGAACTGAATTGAAGAGAACTGTACTTCTTACATAAAGAAGAGGCAGTTACAGAAATTCTTTCAGGGGCTTACAGCTAATTGCAAACATATTCCAAACCCCATCAAAAGAAAGACTTTCAAGAGTCCCTTTTGTTTAAATATATTATTTGGTCTTCAAATTATTGGCAGAGTTTACTGTGGAAATGAATATACTAAAGAAATGCTAAGGCATGTCATCCCCAAAGCAACATGAGAGGGAAGAACTTATCTATTTGCCAAAGGAAAATTCCCTTCTTGCAAGGAAGCACAGGTGAAACTGTTTAACTGCTTCCACAATTTCACTAAGGCAGCAGTGAAGGGAAATAATGCCCCTTCAGATCCACAGTTCTGCTTCATCTAAGCAACAGTGAGACTTAACAGCTCTTAGTAGCCAGGTGTGCTCTTTCAGGAGGTTTAGCACAGAGTGGTTTCATCACTGGCAAACAGGGAAACAGCAAAGAAAATGACTCCTTCACACTGTCCATGATAACCTTCAGGCAGGCATAGACATTTTTAGTCCTTTCTAAGCAGAATATGAAATGAGTTGCTAAAAGTCCAGAGAACAGTCTTGCTGAAAGAGACATGGGGAACATCGAGCTTAACATAAGCAGTGTGCCACTGCAACGATTGAGACAAAGTGGATCCTTGGCTGCATGTGTAGGCACATCACTAGCAGGGATAGGGATGTGATCATCCAACTCAGTGTCAGGCCACTCATGGTGTACTGTGTCCAGTTCTGGTCCCCACAATTCAAAAATGCTCTTACTGATGATAGTATATATATCCAGTACATTTGGGTATTGTATTTGTGAATTCTAAAGTTCAAATACATGAAATCATGGAGTTTTTCAGGTGTACTGCTAAAGCCCATGCAAAAGATCCATGTTGTCCTATAGCAAAGCTTTGTGCATCCCTTGCAATCAAATTCCATGGAAAAAAAAATATGGTAACCTTTACAAAATTATAAGTCATCAGTAGACATTCTTTAAAGCAATACTAAAAGAGAAAAGTTTGGACGATGTATTAAGAAGAGGAGAAAAAATCTTGTGTAAGACAAAATGCAGACAAACTATTAGTATTTCCCACCAGGCAGCTGGTCCTAGAAAAAAACACTGGACAGCAGCAGTAATGGATTCATCCTGCAGGACTTCCATGCACTGCTGCTGTTGAATTCACATAATGAACAACCTCAAGGTGATTATACTGTGAGTTAGAGGCAAGAAGACTGAATGCATAAGAAAAATAAATAAATAAATACATACATAAATAAATAAACTTACTGTTAATCTTGCTGATTCTCCACAATTTTTCTGGGCCGGATTGCTTACTCAGTTCAAATTTAAATGGATCTGTGTTGGGATGAAGGTCTTTGTCTGATGCTCCTAGTACCACTACTCTGAGATCTTTTGCGTCATCACAGACTTTTGCCAGTGTTGGATAAAGGGATGGGACATTGTCATTGACATCCTCCAAGGTGATGTGTAAAGTTCCTGTACCTGTAGCAGGAGGGTTACCTAAGCAAAGAAAGAACACAAGTGTTTATTAAATCATACTTCATAAACATTTCTCTTATTCTCTTGGCATGCTTGCCAAGGAAAATAATTTTTATATGTCTTCCTTCTTTTACATGAAAACTACTGCTTCAAGATATTGAAGAGTCACTATTGTAAATTGTTGCTATATTTTCAAAATGCACCCTGTCTGTTTCTCTACAGTATGTACAATTATTCTAAGGAAACCTCTGGGAGAATAATATTTTGAAGTCAAAATGAGATTAGGACATGAATAGGTATCTGGAACAGAAGCTGTTCATGGACACATACTGAGAGAATGATAGTGGGAAACATCCCCTATATAGACAGTGTGGTATTAAAAGAACCAATAACAAGACAAATAGGAGGAAAAATGACAGCAGAAGAGAATCAATTTGTATGGTTGGGACCCATAAACAGACCAGGAGCAGATCATTCCTCAACAGCCCTTAGGCCCAACGTTTACTTATGTTGTGAAGTAAAACCTGTCAGCCTGCAACTCTAGAAAATTAGATCTTTTATTTTCCCAGAGCCATCCTGTGCTAGCAGTGGAGTTTCAAGCTTTCTTGAATTATTTGCCAGGCTGTCTCAGCCTTGACCTGAAAGATCCAGTTTCAGAGGTGAGGATGGTGTTTATTCACCATGGTACCAGGACAAGCCTTTACACTGAGGCTGTGACTGACAAACCAGCCGTGGCACTGGAAGTGTTTGTAATGGAGACATCTGCCCACTGGGAGCCAGACTGATCCAAGCACCTCATTTCACAGAGGTCAGAGAGGAGCTGACAAGTGGTAATAACTTTCAGTCACTACAGATGTGTGCCATGGTTGAGCCAGTAACCTACTGATTTTGGTCTAAATATCAAAATTGTATTACAGATCCCTTTGCTATCCCATTTGGATTGATCTAAAAGTTTTCCAAAAGGACATTTTTTCCTTCATTATATACCATATTTGCTAATTTCCCACTTTAAATGCTAAACTTACTGAAGAGTTGTTTGTGTTGCTCATTTCACTGGTTTACTATTCAAGATCTGTAATCTCTGCACTTCCCTTACCTATAAACCCCTCAGCAGGTAGAAAGGATTCAAGAGATTGTTCTTAACCTGTAAGGCAGTACTGCAATGTGTGACAGTGGTTTTGAGTTTATCATTGAAAGAGGTACACTTTAGCAGCCCACCAAACTATGGAATTACTGCTGCACTGTGAGTGCATAGCAAGGGAGTAGTAAATACTCTGTGGTCTGGATCTGATAAACTCCTAACTGTAACAGAATGCAATTAGTCCTTTCAAATAACAAATGTTACTAATGGTGACACTTCATCTGTTTCATGCACACATAAATGCATAACAAAGACAGAATTTTCATAGTTCCTTAGCTCCCCCCCATCTCTCACTTTGTCATCAGGAGGTTTAGGGTTGAGTTCTTTTTAATGAAAAAGAAATTATTTTTCACTTTTTATTGGACTAATTGAATTTGCAGAAAGACTCCAATACATTTTTTGTTCTTGATATATTATTAAGTAAAGTCATACAGCAGAATGGATGAAAAGACATTCGAGTATTTGAAATATGATCATAAAAGCCAGCCTTTCATGCACTTAATTAAACTGCTGTCTTTAATTTTGAATGCATTATTTCCACACTGGACTGATAATGTCATATGCACTGCCCTTCTTATCTTTCTCTGAAGTCAGTAATATTAAAATCTGCCTTTTGAAATTAAGAAGCCAACAGCATTATGAATGTACTGTTATTTTGTCAAATGCAGATATGGCTGCATTTTTTTCTGCTATGTTAATGTTTCACTATCTTTATATGGCTTATGGGCCAGTCAACTATTACGCACAAATAAGGAGAAAGGAAATTGCTTCTGTCCATTTCAATGACTTATTCTCTGGTTGTTTTATTTCTAATGATTCAAACAAAATCTTTCAGTGATTTATAAAGTCTTCCAAAAGAAAAAATAAGCTAATGTCAAGGTCATAAACTGATGCTTGTTAACATGCATGTCATAAAAAATGCAACAAAAAATGAATCAAGGAAAAATGGTCACAACATATCCATTGGGAATATATGACTTTTATAAATTTGACAGTAATATGCCTTTGAAATAAGAAACACTCAAAAATCCCATGATCTCTAGACAGCTCTAGTTTTGAAATGAAAGAGTTCCTTAGCATATTTAAATTCTGAAATAAAACTTCTAATTTTTATTGTAAAACTTTAGCTGAAAGGATAATTAAGGCTCAAACCAAGGGCTCAGTCTGATAACCCTTGGAAGCACCTTTACAAAAGAGCTCAGCTCCCATTTTTGCCACTGAACTGGCTATTCCTACTGAGGCTGAATTCTTTGAACCTGCAGGCACTTAGAATCATTTGGGACAGAGAAAATTTCACATTCCTCCTAAGGCTCCCACAAGTGGCATAGCAGTGAACACACTATAGCATATGAATGAAATCTCATCGTGTTACTCATTACTCACATATGTAAAAGCTGCTAAACAGACTGAAGGATGGCTAGTTTGGATACTGAAAGAAAATCAGAGCTTGGTATTGAATCCTGATTTTAATAATCTAGGTCAAAACTGAGAACCTTAATGAGTAATCTTCAATGAGACAGTAATGCAGGTAAGGTCTTCCAAGTTAGTTACGGTCTGTGAGACTGAAATTGTGGTTGGGAACACTAAAAATGTACAGATTTGTCTTAGATCATGCTGCAATTGGAAATCTATGATACATTATCTGAATTGCATTAGGACTGTTAATGTCTTCATATCCTAGCATTAGACCACATAAAAAGCTTCTGATAGCAGTCTTCAGTTCAGCAATAGCTACTGCTGTTGTAAGATGCAATGAGCAAAAAATAGACTAAAAAAAGTAGTTCTATTTCATGAGTTAGATACCACCTTAGAATATGATGGGATCTATTGTCTGTGGATCAGAATCTGTAATGGAAAGAACTGTTACTAGAAGATCTAGATGTTAAATTTTAGTGCTATCAGCATAAATGACTGTGTTGCTACCTTTACTTTAAAGAACAGTATCAAAAGAAATATTATAGAAAAATATAATGTGTATACTTTTATTTAGTTGTATTTTAATGAAAAGCTAGGCAGAATCATATCAGAATTATTAGTATAATGTCTTGAGATATGAGCCCTCTATAGAAAAACCTGGCCAAGAAATTTGAAAACTAGCGTTCAGCTTTGGTCCAGAAAGTTCCCATAGGAACAATGATGGCATTTAGACATCTAACTACTCAAATGAGGCTGCGAATCAGGTAGTTAGATTCTTAAAAGATACCAATTATGGACAGCGATGGCCATGGACTAAGATGACATTTCTCTGAACTATCAAGACTTGCATAAAATGGCATGTCTAACAAGCAATCATATGGTTGAATGGCTGATGATGCATTTAATCTGAGCATAACATTTTTATGGACATGAAGAGACATTTCATGTTCCCCTTTCTAATTTTCTTACAGAGATGTGATGTTGTTGTATACAGATTTCTAATATGGCTGAACTATGCTTCCTGAAATTAAAGATGATATTTGGACTGTTTTGAAACTGAATTAAGATATTCCTCATCAGTGTATCTTCCAACAACAACTATTTTCATTTACTTGACATGACAACAGAAATACAGAGTTGGCAAACACCACGCAGGAAGTGAGACTTTCAAATATGCCTAAGCACAGTAAGAAACCGAACATCTTTAGAAGTCAGGGAAAGTCAAGGGCTTAATTTTTGGGGGTATCCAAAGGAAATGTCATGTGACTGAGGATTGCCTGCATAGCATCCTATTTAATTGCACCTGAATTTCTATCCTACAGTTCGTATCATAAAAGTTTGATAGATGGTTCCATGCTGCATGAGTAAGTCCGCAATCATGTCCAAATGTCTCACCACACTTTGTGTAGACATAGCTACAGAAGCTTTAAAGTAGTCAGTGAAGATGTTAATAGCTATGTAGCATCAAATCATTTATATGAAAGTTGGTTTTATACGATGTTAACTCAATACGTGACTTTCATGAGAGCATTTTGAGTTCACACATTTGTTTCACTCAATGCTAAGGAAGCCCTGGGAAACATACCACTGGCTGTACCAGCATGTGGGCCATGCCAGCCTGACATTTTCACATGCAATGGTGTTTTCCTCCATTAACCGAGCAATAACAACAAAAATAACACTGGGAAAAACTAATTAGGCACTTCACCGTTGGAACAGTTTTCATGTTTAGACCCTACATTCACTTCTAGGAGTAGGGCTGGGCGTGCAGTGGTTAAGCATAGACATCCATTTACACTGAATTGTCGGCATGTACTTACAGGAGCCAGCTAGAATGATTGTTCTAAAATGGTAGAATATTTGCAAGATGGAAATGTTGTTTAAATGCAACATAAACAAACACACACACAAACAAAATAATGAAAGATTTAGTCCTTTTCTTCCAGCTTTCCTATTTTCAAGTGCCAACATTAGCCTAAATGACCCTGAATACGTTATACAAGCATTCAAAAACATACTCAGAACTTAGAAAATGAACAGTTCGGGACATCTGAAATTACGGTGAATTTAGATTATTCTTGAAAATGTTCTTAAGTATGTATCCAGGTAAAACAATTACTTGAACACTGCTACTTAAAATGATATTCTTCAGTTAGCAGGCCTCTAAAATCAAATAATTAAACCTATATTATCCATCCTTCATTAAGCTTTGAGTTCTGAATTTTATTTTGTTTTTTTAATTCCAAAGTCCCTCTTTGGAATAACCGAGATATATATCTTCTAGAATTGTGTTTTTAAAATATATATATTTTTTAATTTGTAGATTTAAAGGATATTATTAGCTAAACAAATTGGATATAACAACATTTTTTCAGCTAAACTGAATTTCATTTGTGAAAACCAACATGAAAATCTTCAAGAAATATTTTCTCTTTGAGCTTGACTTTTTTTCTCGTTTGACACTAAACTTGATTTGATCTAAAGCAGAACAAGTTGCACAAGGGATAAACAAGTATTATCAAACACAAAAATAATTTTCCACATGCTATGTGAAAGGTAGCCTTTGCTAAATCAGATGAAAGTCAGTTTATACTTGTACATAATACAATTTGTTTTGTGGTGCGGTTAAGAAACAAAGGATTGATAATCAACTACCAAAATCCCAAGACACAAAACATAAAGAGTTAAGGCATAAGAATACATGTTTTTACTTAAGCTTGGAAAGTTCACCTAATGGCATCAAAAGCTAAATGTATAAATTATTCTGTTTATAAAACATTAATGTTTTATATCTTGGTCTTTACAGCAAAACAATATTTATAGAACTGCTTTTACAGAACAATGTTTAATTAAGAATGATTAGGAAAAAAAGGAATTTAATTCAAATTAATATACCTTCTTTTTGAAGAGCATTGGAGATCAGGGATTCTGGTGGTATTTATCAAATTTCCAAAGAAGAAAAATCAACTGCTTTAAAGAATCCAGTGGCTACATATATGTAGATCTAAGCCATAGTACTGCTAGAAGCTAGAACAGTATTTTAGGAAGAATAGAGCATGAACTGTCCCTTTCTATATGCTCATTATGAATGGTAAAAAGATTTCTGCACTATTTTGTTCTTACTGAATTAAGCTTCCAGAACCATCAAATTAATACATATTATTTATGTCCTTCTATGTCATGATGCAGAAATTACAAGGCCATTTAATTCCTAGAGCAAGCGGTTTGTCCTCTGCCAAATCTGTAGGGTATCCATTGCCATACAGATTTTCTCTCAAGCTGATAGAATGGAAATTATTTATTTTCAGTTTTGCTATTTATGGTTTATCATTTAGCAGTGTTTTTTAATCTTGCACTATCATTTATTTAACCCACAAAGACTAATTTTTTTTTATTTTTGTATTTTTTCCAGATGCTACTTCTTAGCTGGCTAACAGTTAAATGGATACAGAATGAGAAGGTAGAACTGTTTGAGCAATTACAGTAAGAATAATTTTTCTTCATATTTGAGCAGAAAAAAAGCCTTTGAGAATATGAGTTTTCTAATTTCTGGCACAATTACCTTTCCTCTGACCCATCATGAATAAAGCTTTCTCTCTTTAAACTTCTATAAACCATATTTGAATCATAGTCATATCAAGGTCAATTTGGAACAACTATAATGATGTCTACAGAATTTCCTTCATTTTACTCCCATGTAACTAACTATAAATTGTAGAACTGCCTACGATCTCTCCTTGGATGTGTTTTTTTCCACCAATTTCTCTATTTTCATCTTCATGTATACGGGAAGGAGAAGCTGTTTTGTTGTATTCAATAGGGCAAGAAAAGAGGAGAACAAAGAATGAAAGGAACATTGTAGAAATTTCCAAAGTGTTTGGAGGGAGCTATGCATTCAGACTGTGCAGTATGTGGTTAGACTATGTAACATGCTCTCTCTTTAAGTGATTATATTTCAGATATAGACTGTGAGAAATAATGGTTCATGCTTTATAACAATACTGCTATGAAAATTTAACTGAAATTTCTGAGTCTCCTCCCTCATCATTCTCTTTTTCCTCCATATGCTGTTTTTCTAATCAGAAAACGTGTACATGCTTGGTGATTTGGCAGCAGGTACTCTCTGTGCAGGCATAAATCCCATTCAGGAAGGCATATTCCAATACTTTTCGTGTTCAAGCTGAATTCCATTAATGGTTCAACTAAAGTAAATGGAACCAACAGTGGGAAGATACTAAGATATGGATGTGCTGCTCAGAATCTGACATAAATGCCACATGCTGACACTTTCTATAAAAGAGGTCCCAAATTTCCCATGAGCTGAAATTTCCTATTTTAAAAATATGCATTGGTATATTGATTTTTTTGATTTATAAAATAAATAATTGCTAAAAGTTGCAATCCTTCATTCATTCAGATAATATATGCAGATCCTATTTTTGAGTAATTACATTTCAAAAGAGCACAGCTCTTTCAGCATATTGAATTGCTACTGACATATGCCATCCGTCTTAAATACTGTTTTCAGCATTCTAATTTCTTTTTCTAATCATGAGTCCATGATGACAAATTAAAACAATATTTTGTGTGCGATTCATATTTTATTGAAATTTAAAATGGCAAGAAAAGGATGAGTATTCAGTTTATTTTCTCTTCTCAATTAATACAGCAATTAAGATAAGGAGTATAAAACTGGCTTAATTGGGTAGCCATGGCAACTAATTGCCTGATTTCTTCAAAAATAGCATGTTTTAGGTGGAATCAATCTGTGGTAATTTAATTACGTACATATGAAGCAAGAAGACAGGTTAGATACATGTAAGGAAAAATTCTGTTTCCAAATTGTTACACATCTTTGTTACTCCATTTTTTTCTAGCTGTTGTCTGTTTCTGTTCATTACCTGTACTACAGAATGAAAATTTTTCCTTTTAACAATTAGGAGTATCAAGAAGAGCACAATGAATGACTGAAAGTAGTTCACATGGTACCCAGAAAAAAGGAAAAAAGTGAAAATTAGACTCTGAATCCTTCCTCATTTTCCTTAGAATGGCAAACTGGCTACAGTCATGGAACCAAAATTCCCTTTTTAAATATAAATCAATAAATAAATAATGACCAGTGCAACTCGAGGCAAACACTGAAATCACTCCAATCTAGATATAACTTCTTATGGCTTCTTATAACTTATTGTTTCATGTATAGTCCATGAAATAGAGATTACTGCTCCTGAAGCTGATTTCCTGCAGCTCAACCCTCCTGTTGGACATCCTGCCTATACTAGGGATGGCTGCCATGCAAACACTTATGATGTCAAAAGCTGGGGATGGTGATGCAACACAGGGAGCAAAACACTTTCAGAAAAGAAAAAGGTAGTTTTCACTCCTGGGTTATTGCTGTAAGAAACTCTGCTTACTGCGATTTAGTATATCGAAAACTGTATCTATTAAAAACGTGAACCTGGCAGAAGCTGGCTCACTGGCAATAGATGAGAGTTTCTGTCTCAGTGGAAGAACACTGCTAACTTACTTGTGCCCTGCCCAGGTGGCATCAGAAGAGGGAAGTAGAGAACTGTATTTAAGCCAAGTCAGCAAGACTGGGCATTAGTTTTTCAGCATTTTTCACCAGCAGCTTACATACCTGAACGGCATAGGTGTTTTTTCCATGTATTATGCAAACAAAGGTAACCAAGGTTTTTCTTCTAAAGAGATGGAAAAGACTATACAATGGGAACATTAACTAGGATATTGTGCCTCACTACAATAACATTGTTCATTAACTTAAGACTGTTTGAATATATATCGTTATTCCTTCCTCCCTCTTAAAGAAAAGGAGAAACCATAGTTAGCTTTTTTTTTTCTTCTAGATTTCATACATCTTCCAGATTATTTTTTAGCTTCCCCTCCATAATACTAATGTTTTTCTCCTCCCTTATGTTTTCTAAATTCTAACGTAAACTCTCAGAATGTAGGTGAAAAATGGACCCTTCCTGCAGAGTCTTTTAGCATGACTGACCTTATGAGAAAAACATAGAGACATACAGGTATTCTGCTTTATGAGTCCTCCATATACTCCATAATGTGCTGCCATATGTAGGATGACCTTACAACATGGTTACACAGCAGATCTCCTGGAAGGTCTGATGCAAGCAGATTTCTCAAATTGAAATGACTTCTTGCCTTTATTTAATCTATACGAGTTTTACAAATACACTCCCAGTAATTGCACTGTATTGTGGTGATATTGCATTGTTTTTACTGATTAGAATAATGAATTCAAGAAATAAAATGATCTCTATTGTTGGCACTTTCGTTAATTGAAAGAAACCTCTGATGTTTTCTAAGTTTGCATAAATATGACTTTGTCCCATTATGAGCTCATTCTCAGATTAAACACAGTTCATGACACTTCAATGTATTAACTCTGCTTCATGATATTTCCTACCATTATTTAATTTCTTCTTTAATAGACCAGAGACTCTATGTCCACACAAGTATTTAATAAAGAGTTTTCAAATTCTAAAGACACTACCTTGACCTTTACTGAAATCAAAAGTACAGAGCAAATTAGGATATTCATTCCAAAAAGTCCTTTTTAACATAAAATTTCCCTCAATAAAAGGTCAAACTTTATTATCTATAAAATTAATACCGTGTCCATCAAACTTGCTATTACACATTGTTTCACTTGTGTTTGGGAATGTACAGGAACCTTTAGATGTTTAGAGCAGAAGTAATGTAGTTCATACTTACTTAGCTACATTTCAGTTAATTAGACAATGCTGAAAAATAGCATCAAGTTCAAAAATAATTTTGTAAACAACTGTATTACTTACTGCAGTAAAATGACTCCATTTAGAGTTGAATGACAGTAAAGAATGCTTTTGTGATTTACTGAAAAAAAGATATATGGATTTATATAAAGAACTACCAACCATGAAGCTCCTGGTTTTACTTCTGACAGAAATCTTCAACATTTTACAAATAAGAAAAATGCCCCAGCACTTGTCCCCTGCACTGAAGTGTAATAACCAGAAGCTAGTGTCTGATGAATCCAGTGACAGATTCTCTGTTGACATCAGTGAAATAGTATGAAAAAAGTATCACTGTAAATTTTGTTTTTAGCTGTCTCATTTCTTCAAATAAAATAGCACCCAAATGGTATGGTCACGTTAAAAACAGTGACCATATGTGACAAAAAATGTTAAAAACATTTATTTCATAAAAAATGAAATATGATGGGACAACTGGATCCCTTCTGTAATTATATATACTCTATATGCTATGAATACAAATATTGTTAAAAATTCGAGAGGCAGGAGACCTTTTCTCCATTAACACCAGCGACAGGACCCGCGGGAACGGGGTTAAGCTGAGGCAGGGGAAGTTTAGGCTTGACATCAGGAGGGGGTTCTTCACAGAGAGTGGTTGCACACTGGAACAGGCTCCCCAGGGAAGTGGTCACTGCACCGAGCCTGTCTGAATTTAAGAAGAGATTGGACTGTGCACTTAGTCACATGGTCTGAGCTTTTGGGTAGACCTGTGCGGTGTCAAGAGTTGGACTTGATGATCCTTAAAGGTCCCTTCCAACTCAGGATATTCTATGATTCTATGAAAATTAGCACGCAACTCACAGACGTTTCCACAGTAAGCATCATGTCTGCAATCCCTTATACTATCAATTGACATTAACACTGCTGAAACTCCTGGCAGTACTGTCAGAAACTGAACTTGGGAAGATGTGCAAGCATCTTCCTCTGGCTTTGCCCATTGAGGCTGGAGCTCCAGAGCAGCTCTTGCTCCTACCAGCTCCCCCAGATATCATTACATAGTTAGACAAATCAACAGTAATTTTTCCAGTTACCAACCTGCTTCTAAGTTTAATGTGTTCTTTGTTAATTAATCCAGGGCTGATACAGACCACAAGGTTAATACCACCTATTTAAGCACTGCTATTTAATGCTGTTTCCACATATGTCTGAGCTACATACAGTGAAGTAGTACAATACTCTGAATGATCATTATTAACACCTTAGCATCCCACTACTAAATGCACACTTGTGGTTTCTAATTACTTCATTCAAAGAAGTCAATAATGTTCGAGTAGATCAGCTCCTGTGCTAACAGGATGACCAAATTACAAATAAACACAACAGATGATAGAATTAGATGCTGACCCAGTATCTCAATGGAAGAGGGTTCCTTCCTTTCTAACCCATGTTAAATACCTTCCCTTGTTCTGCTGTTCAGTGCACAGACACCTTTCCCTCCTCTTGTTTTTCCAGAATTTGAATGTTTCCAGGGAAGCGTTCTGGGATTTAAGGGGTCACCTAGCAGTAAGGCTCCTGGCTTGGAATGGATGAACGAGTGTTACTGCCCTGAGAGCACGATAAAGTTCTACCCGAAAAATTATGAAAATCCGTTTTCATTCAGACCAATTTCCACAGTAAGAAATATTCAACTTTCTGTTCCACATTTTCTCTTGAGGATATTTGACTCCACTTTTAAACAGGAAGCAAATTTGTCCTTCTGATAATGCCAAAAAAATATTATCCTGACTTTTTACACTTATCCTAAGACATTTCCCAGTGTACCCCATTTTATAGATGCATTTAAAAGATTTTTATTCAATAGCAAGTAAAAACAGAAATAAGTTTAGAGCTACATTTTTCTATGAAAATTTCTTAAGACAAATATGTATATGAATAGATAAGTAAATCATCGTGTCAGCAGATTTTTTTTCTTTTATATTGAAGATAATACTTTCTTTTTCCTGTCAGGCCCTGCAAATGTTCCCTGAGTCATGTGGTTACAAAAATATAGAATTGCCCTCCTAAAAAGAACATTTTACAATTCATCACCAGGACTAAACCAGCTGCAGCTGTGAAAAAGTGTTAACATATTAGCTGTTATATTGCAGACAAATCTTTTATTTATTTTGTGCCGTCAGCTCTAGAGATTTGCAGAAATGCTCAGGATTTTCTCTTTCTTTCTGTGCCACTGAAGTCTCTTTCTGAGTTTTCACTAGATACTTTAATTTTGATTATATTTGACAGAAGGAACTTTAATCCATGTAATATGTAAAAAATACTGCATTTTAACAAGGGCTTTTACTTATGTTTTTATTGCCACTGTCATTGCATAGAATAGAATTCAGCATATCAGGGATGGGTTGTTATTGGTATTTAGGAGCCCGAGGCTTACTAACTACGCAAATATTGTGAAGAAATTAACTCTGAAAAAGATTATTTATAACTTTCCAAGAATGTTCATATACTATTTCCATCTAATTTCCATCTCATATTGAGATCTCAGCATAGGAATATATGTGTGAGACATAGCCTTAAAGTGGTTCTAAATTTAAAGTTTTTTTTTCTGTTTTGCCACAATGACCTCTGATACCGTTAGGTGTCTGCTTACCAAAGTGCTGAATCATATACTTACTGTTAATGTGCACATTTTGAAGATGAGCTTTCAAACAGGGAAAAAAAAAAAAAAAAAGTCATATACTTTAATGAATACAATCCATAATAGTTACTCACCACTGTCTATTGCCAGAAAGAGAGCAGTGTATATGTTGTCCTGAACGTAAGGTGATTCCCGATCCAGGATAGCAGTGGTGCCAATGGTACCATTGGTAGGGTTAATTTCTAGCCAGCCTGCTGGATCCTTATAAACTGAGTACCTATATAAAAAGATAAAAGTCATTAACAAATTATATATCTAGATATAGACTAATTACATTACTACAAAAGAATATGTCTTTGCACTCACTGGCTTTTATGAGGTAGATCTCTTAAGGCTTAAAAAATACAACTTAAACCTTGTGCCTTCCTTTGAGGTGGATCATTACTGTTAGGCTCATTTGAAAGAGAAAGGTAGAAAAGTTTGAGTCAATGTTTTTGGGTACAGATGCTCCAAAGCTTCGTACAGAAATCAATATTTGAAACATTACATATGACCTGTTTCCTACTAACAATCTTTGGAGTGATACGTAGAGTACCTAACCACTTTCAATGGACTTCTGCAACAACAGGGGTATTTACAGACTTTATAAATTCTCTCACAGTATTTTTCCAGACTCAAAATTTTGTTTGGACAACCAGTTTTATTTTTTATTGCCTGAGTGTTTTTCATTTTTCTATTAAAATTTTTATCTCGGGCGGTACTGAAGATGCTATAAATGGTGGTGTGCAGTATCAAAAAGAGAGTTTTGATTCATTAGATATAACGCAAGAGCTGGTTACATGCAGACCCCTAATTTGTACACGTTTGATTTGCAGTTTGTAATCCAAAGTTACCTGCTTCTAATGGTTTCATTTAGATGCTCAGAGTCTTGGAACAATTCAACCACATGTGTGTTATTCAAACAAGGATTTGAAAATGCTGTCTGCCCAGATCCTGTAACATAATTCACTGCTGTGCTTTGTTTGCAGTCATCAGCACAAATATTTAGACCCCACTACTGGAAATACTTAGATTGCGAACTTTATGCACTAAGAACTGCCCTATTAGACTGAAGTAATAAACGTAGGAATGTTCTGATTCTATACTGAGTTAAAGATATTAAGTCATATAACAACACAGAGATGAATGAACTGGCACCAATTCCCTCTCCAATTAAATTTTTATTATTTTAAACAAAACCTCCAATCATATAGTCAATACTTACTATAATAACCTTTTAACCTTTTTTGTAGTGAATTGTTACAGGTCATGAACAGCCATAAAATCTTCTACGGATATTTTAAATAGTAAATAATTGACATGAAACCTGTTACTATTTAATGAGTAGGTGCCAAGCCAATACCTTTCATGTGAAAGGTGTCCTATGTGATAATGCTGCGAAAAATAATTTATCAGTGCAAATATCTCCCGAGAGAATAATCAAAACTAACAGATTGTTAGAAGGGGAAAAATAAAGTAGGTAAAATGAAATAAAATGGCAATAGGTAGAAGAATGGAAAATTTGCAGGCCAACAAAGACATGGTCTCATTGAATTCCTATTTCAGAAGCTTGATTTGGTCTCTTGTGTGCTCTGAAAAGGTAAAAATAAGTGGTGGTGAGTTACTAAATCCGCGTAACAAACTGTAACAAACCTTTTGGAGTTCATGAGAAAAAGAGACAAACACTAAAAACAGTTGGCTTGCTTATGCTCCCACAGAAGTCACTCAGAGTTTCTCCACTGTCTTCCCCAGGAGCAGAAATCGTCCCCATAGACGTTATATGAAAAAGAACCAAACACTAAGACTTTCCATCAACCTAACATGTTCTTCCACTTAACTATGTAAATATTAATCAATCCAGGAGCTTTATCTTCTGTAAAAACAAATTGCTAGAATAGTAACAATGCAGATCATTATTTCATTTCACTTCTTTGTTTCTTTTTTATTGTTGTTTTCATAACTTTGCAACAAAGGTATGCACAAAAGTATGGAATCAGGGCAGCCTAAACAATTCGTAGTCTATTGTAAAACTGTGAATTCTCAATTAACCCTGAAACAATTTAAGAAGATTCAACACTTTTAAAGTAATGAGAATTTAAAATGGATTGTATTATCTTCCCTGATTGCTTTACAAAGCACTGATGGCTGTGCAAATAAAAAACTGAATTGTATAACCTGTGATTTGGCACAGGATATTGTGAAAGTAGTACTTTGTCTTTCCTACCACATTTTTTACTTATTGTAAGTATATTGTAGTAGAGATGATTATTCTTTTTTTTTTTTTTGAGTACTCTGCTAGAAAAAGATTTAGAATAGACTCATTAAGAAAAGCACTATTAAAAAAAAAAAACAAAAAACAAAAAACAGAGATATAGAATACAGAGCTTCACTTTTTACGTTTAACTGTAGTGAGACCTATTTGTATGGCAGTATTGAAAAACAGACCATTTTTTAGGTGGTTAAACATAAATGCTTGTGCCTACTTGCACCCACTCAGTTTTTGAAAATCATAAGCACGTTGATAAGTCTGTATGGATGTATACAGGACTGTGTTCTCTGGAGTGCCAATTACTGCTTATTCTGGACTTTACATTGCACTAGTGAAATTTAGTGCTGCTTTGTGAGGTTTCTGTGTTTTGTTGTTTAGTTTTAAAACATGTCAACACATGACAGTCCCCAAGGTTTTATGTGAACACCAGGACACGAGTAAGTGTTGTTGTTTGTCAAGCCTATATTGTTTGTCATCTCCTTGCACTATGTTCATGCCCTGGCATTATATGTAAGGCAAGTATTGCAAAAGAAGCAGAAAAAAAAACCACAACAATTCCCTTAGACTGGGATCATCTACTGCAAAACATTAGGTATACATTTCAGATACAGACCTACAAACAGATGCAGAGAGGCTATAGCTGCAGAACAACAAAATACAAATCAAAATATGCACTTTGCCTATTCAGTGCAGAACTAAAATAAAATAGCATATATATGGAAATAATTTAAAATGTTTAAATGTCATCATCTCCTTCCTGTAATACAGGTAAGTCATTCAGAGAACACCTCCTGGGGTTGCTAGCAGACGTGCATGGTGGTTGTGGCTGGCAGCTTGATTAGCACAGAAGACTCTTCACAGAACAGTGTTGATAATATGGACATGGAAATCTAATCAGAGTCACAACCTTGCACTAGACAAAAAAACAATTTCACAGCCAACAATCAAATAGCTCAGGGGGTCAAAGGAGAGCAGCCAGGCAACTAGGCACAGAGCCAGATGCTGCTTTTGACTTCCAGAGCTTGGTAGTTGCCAGACTTTTCCCATGTGGAGTCAAGGGGTCTTGGCTCCTATGTTTTAACAGAAAGAGAAGGAAGGCAAAATGAAGCATTTTGAACATACTGAGTATCACCACAACAGAAAAAATCAGTGCCAAATCTGTGCCGAATGACACATCTGTGCCAGCTTGTTGTGCAGCATTGACAGGAGTTAAGGTGAGCGATCTGGAAAGGCTCGTTGGGGTGGAGGTTCTCCAGCCTTGTGCATCTGGATATTGCTCAAGTCGCCTTCCACAGAGACTCTCTAACCAACAAGATGCAACAGAACAGAAGTGGTACAGCAGTACTGGCCGCATGAAATATCTACCTGAACCTGCAGTTAGGCTTTGTACTGCTGACTGCAGGCATTAAGATGCCACTGTAGTAGACTACTGGGCAAGACTGTTATAGCATGATTAGGACCTGGAGATTTGTTCTCCCAAGTCCTGGTGCTGTCACGATGGAATCTGGGAAGTCATTTAATTCAAGCTACACACCCAATTCATAGCGGTAAAATGGTAAGGATGTAATTCTGCCTTGAAGAGCTTTTAAAAGGATAACATCTGTAGCTGATTGCTAAAGGACAATGAGAGACATCAAAAGTACTGAGATGCGGAACAGAAAAGAATAATTTGAACAGTTTTCTAAAGATGCAGGGAAATAGTTACTGTCATTTGCAAATTGTATAGTTGCTTTTTTAAACTATATTTAAAACAGAATTAAACCCAGATGATTCAAAATTAATTCTCTCCTCTGCATACACGTGTACGCATGTATGCGTGTGTATGCTGACTGGTCCTGGGTGAAACTTAAAGTGTCAAAATATTGATAGTAACCATTTTCATAGCGCTTCAATCTGTTCAATCTTATTGGAGGGAGTCTGTATCAGAAATGTAACAAAGCTTATTCAGATATTAGATTTCCAAATCATATTTGCAACTTTTATGGATCCTGGTCCTGCTGACATAAGGAAAAAAACCAGAGTTGAATACACCCAATATTTCCTCTAAAAAGTATAGGCACATTTGTATTTTGAATGAAAAGCATTCACATTATCCAAATTTCTGAATCCACAGCATTTCACCTACAATTAAGTTACATATTGAAGTTACCATATCTCTCTTGCTCCTGCTGGGACTGTACCGTATAATGACAGTCTCTGAATTTTTTCTATGAGCTCTTCATGAACTACTCAAGTGAAATGATCAGTGGGGAAGGTAACTTGATATTTTCTGTGCTTAAGAGCTCAGCATGAGAACTCCCTTTTGTCTCTGAATGAAATATCCTCTAAATACAGATATTATGTAATCTTTAAATCAAGCAAATATGAACTTCATCTCATTATATCAAGTCCACCACCTTTGGAAAAAAATTTACAGGTATTTGGGAGAGATCAATGTAGCAACTGCAGCATAAATATACACACCTATATAAAAACTGTTGTTCTAAGAGAAAGATAAAAAACACTTCTCAAACTGTAAGCGTAACATTGCATATCTGGATTAAAACCATGTGGTGCTGCATATGCTATAGTAGAGATGACATGACGTAGAGCTTTAGAGATCAACCTGCACCCCATCATCATGTTCCATCTTTTCCCCTGTGCTAACATTACCTTTTGCTTGCACAAATTATGGCAGTGTATGGCACCAGAAAGAGCACAAAGGAAGCTCAACTGCAACACAGTGATTCTCCAGATGAAATATACTCTAGACTCATTTATGATGACACATGCATTTTTTCTGCTATTTGACTGTATGATAACAAAGGTAGTCCAGCTCCTATATGGTTTTAGGTTATAAGCTTTGGGAGAGAAACTTACATGTTGTGTATGTATATTCACAGCCTGGCACAGCAGGGTCTCTAATTGCTATCCCACCATGCTGAACACAAACAATAGTAATTCTCTGACATATATTACATCTAATATTC